GTGGAATGGTCCCCGCCCAGTGCTGCAGCCGGGCCGGCCCACTGAGCGCTCACACCGTCACCCTGCATGCAGGGCTGTGGATGCAGGGGTGGGGTCTGGCCTGGAGAATGCAACCGGAACAGCCCGCTGAGGGGCCGAACCACGAGGACTCTCTCTTTCACGAAGCCCAGGGGCAGAAGCAGGGCAAGTCCAGAGGGAGCTAAACCAACTCCCCGGTTGGGACTAGAGAGTGTGTCTGAAGCAGTCCCAGCGTGCTTTTCCAGAACCCGCCTTTCCGAGGAGCAGTATCGTGACCATGAAAGCCAAGGCCAGCAGCAAAGCTCCACAGTTCGTGAGCCAAGAGGTTTTATCCTAACCCCTTAAACCGCCGAGCCAGGTGGCTCTCCGCTCCCCATGGTGGCCGCGGGAGAATTTCCGAGTTCCGGGGAGCCACGGACCAGGCCACAGATGGGAAGCTCACGGGACTCAACGGCAATGGAAGGTGGAGGTTTCCTGCCCAAACTGAGCAGCGGCTCCCAGACCACTGGAGAACCAGAGCAGCCCCCGCAGTCAGGATGCGCGATCACTCTGGTCCCAGGTGGGGGCAGGGGTGCTGCACAGTCGGCCCCGAGACACTGCTCACCCCAGGGCAGAGCGGCCCCGTGGGGCTCCAGAGCCCTGCCACCTTTACAGTTCCCTCATGCTTCCATCGGGGCTGAGGACTCGCCTGCTGCATGGGCTTGGCTTTGGCCACAGCTGTCCATAGCCATCACCACGAAGACACTCGGGACTTCAGGAAACACCAGCAGGAAGGCCTCAAATCTGCCTCCTCACACACTTGCTCCCAAACCTCTAAGTGACCCACAGCACCTCTGTACGACCTTTAACACTGTCAGTGCTTTAAACGTCCAGGGTCAGAGGTTATGGACAGAGAGCACAGCGTCTGGAAGAATCCAAGGTGGGTTTATTGACCTTGCCTGGAATTCACGCCAGGGCCTCAAAAGTCATGGGCCTGCCCTGCTCCAGGACCCAGTTATGCTGGGAGACTACGGGGCGTCGGCACCACCAGCTCTGTCCAAGGGCCCTCGTGACAGATCACCTAGGAACTGCCCCACCCCCGGGGGGCCATGGAAACACCACAGCGAAACCTGTTTTCCAGCCATTCTTAGTTAAGAATTAGCCCCGAGTGTGGGATGTTCGGGGCTGCTGGCCACTCCCCTTCCTAGATCAGCTTCCCCTGGTCATCTAAGCTACCTAAGGACTGGCAGGGACTTCACAAGTTAGAAAAGCTGAGAATAAACTACACACCCCTGTCAGAATTTCAGATGGATCATCACAGGGCGGTTGACACAAAGATGTGTGCACGTGAGCGGGCGTGTCTGCGCTGCGGATGTCACCGCCTCCCGCGTGCACCTGCTGCTGGCAGCCCAGGCCCCACACGCCGTGCACGGGAACCCCAGGTACCTCGAACACGGATAAAGAGGGGGCACGACCCTGCACAACGTGAAGAGGAAGTCACAGAGACCCGGCCACAAGGGAGCAAATTCGGAATACTAGGACTTCTGGGGAGCAGGGATCACTGTGGTGACTGACCTGCACGTGATCAAACCGAAACTGAGTAGCACGGACGGTGTGAGCCGGGAGCGGCCGCTGGCACCTCTCCACGGCCCAGGGAGGCCCAGGGAAGCCCAGGGAACACAGCCTCCTCTCACCTGCCCTGAGCCAGCAGTGGGGCGTGGGGGTCTCCCCCTCCCCGGGGCTCCTGCGGATCGTGCCATTCCGAGAGCTGTGGGCGGCAACCCACAGGGAGCCCAGGGCCATTGCCCTCCCCGCAGCCCCCTATCCATCAGCATGGCCTTGCCGGCCCCATCCCACCCGCCCAGGGCCCTCCCGCAGCGGTCATCGCTCACCTGGGCCACCTCAGCACCTGCCTCCAGCCCGTTCTCCAATGAGTGGCCATAGGGACGTAGAAACCCTGTGGCTTCCTGTCACGGCTCCCCTCCCTCCAGTCTCTGCTTCTGCACCTGCTTCCAGCCGTCGGGCCTCCTTGCTGTGCCACCAGCGTGCCAGCCCACGGCCTTTGCAGTGGTCCTAGCCATAGACACACCTGTCACTCCGCCTCAAGCCACTGGTCACAGCACTGACATCGGGCACATGAGTTGCTTTCTGAGGTCCTCTGCAGCCTTGTCAGAACACAGGCGCTGTGTGCAGAGGGCCTTGTGTCCTTGGGACGGCACCTGCTTGCAGCCTTCCGGAAACCCTTGTGGAAGGAGATGAATGAGGGCTGTGCCAGGCTCCAGGGTGGAGCATTCTAGCACACCCCCCGCGCCCTGCAGGCCGAGACACGTCGTTCTGTCACTCACTGCACTGCAGGGCTTTTTAGATACCTCCTTAAAAATTCTAATAGGTTACATTTTAAGTTACATTTTGATTGTGTGGCTGTTTACGATGTGTTCTTCTTAGGGTCAGGATCCTGGGATGGAGCCCAATGCCAGGCTCCCTGCTCAGCGGGGAGCCGGCCCCTCCCTCTGCCCCTCCCCCTGCTCCTGCCCTCGAATTAAAAAAAAAAAAAAAAAAAAAGTGATCTACTTCGACGGAAGAGAGATGTAGAAGGAATGGTTTCCCCGGAAAGTGTCATTGGTGCCAAGGGTCACACACCTGGCTTGTGGGATGTGGCGCAGGGCTAGTCAGCGGTGCGAGGACCCCCCCCCCCCCGCGCCCCTGGCCCAGAACACGGGCGAACACTGTGCTTCAGCTGCCGTTCTTCTGTACACGGCACCGGGACGTCACCTGCATTCTGAAGTTCCCGAACCAATGAGAACCAGATTTCTCACTGCTCTACTTAGAAAGTTCAAGAATACGAAATGGCAGAAGCGGCCCTTCTCTGGAAAGGAAAGCACACACTCCAACACAAACACCAACTGGTTTCCAAAGTTTATTAAAAATCAAAGAATAGAAAAACTTTACATAAAAATATGTCAATTTTAGCTTCCACATTGTTGTCCACACACACAAAAAAATCGTAACATGATATCGTTTTGTTCAACCTGTAGTGCGTGACCACCGTGGTAGCCAGGCCAATTCATTCGGTTCACCATGACGGGGATGGAGCATGGCGCCTGTGTCTGTGAATCGAGCTTTAAAATGCACCCCCACGGGACCCGCGCCCCGCAGTGGTTCCTAAATGTAGGGTGACAGTCAATATTGCTAATGTGTGGAGATTAGTACAGGCCTACTTATCAGTTTTTATAAATATTTCTTTATCAATAGATTCACAATTTAAATAGCTTTAAATATTTTTGATAACTTTCGATCATCAAGAACTGCAGACAACATGTGCTACTCTCTTTTGGAAGGCCCCCCAGAGAAGCCGCGGCCGCCAGCCGCGACAGTGCTGGGGGGAGGGTGGGGGGGGGCCGGGTCCCGGGGGCAGAGGACGGCCGAGGACACTGGAGGTCCGGCCCGGCCGGGACACCGCCCCCAGACCGCACTCCAGAGCTCCCCGCTCTGCACTTCCATCAGGTGTCATGGTAGATAGTCTCTCGACTCGACCTTCTCCACTAGTGGACTTCAAAGACCAACCTACCTGTAGTGTTCAGGAAGGCCAAAACCCCCCATTTTAAAAACGGGAGGTCAGATGACCTATGAGATGCAACTAACACCAGGACAACTGTGGCGCTCCGAAAACTCAGGGACAGGCAGGATGGGTGTAGGACAGAGGTTGCCATGGCGGACAGCACTTGCATAGTATACCTGGATGCTTCTCAAGTGGGGCACCCGCTGCTCCGGCCCCACCCCGCGCCGGGCTCTCCTGCGATGCGTCACAAACACTCCCCACGGTGCACTGAGCAGCTCAAGTACTTCTCGTAGATTTGCTCTTAACAGAACGAATGCATACCGCTATACAGATTCCTCCACGGAATCAACATAATTCCTTTCTCCACATTCCTAAAACTGGGTGCCCTCGTCCGTACTGATATTCACCCGACCCATCCTGACAGGCTATGTGACTAAAACGGACTGAAGCACTTCAGAGTTCTTTTTTTTTTTTTTTTTTTTTTTTTTTAAGATTTTATAACGTGACAACCCTTTCTCCCCTTAGAAAGTTTTACTTCTGGCACTTTAAATGCTGGATTTGTCGTCTACTTTAAAAGAACCGAAAACCGAAACATTAAAGCTCTGCGGTCAGAGCGAGACAACAGGCCGGACGGCAGGGCCGGCGGGCAGCTGGTCAGCAGGCTCAGGAGCCGAGCCCCTGCAGGGAAGCGCGGGGCCGCTCGGCTCCCCCGCCACGGACGGAGAGGCCTCGTGTCTGACCCAGAGGAAAACACAAAAAGAAACCCCGAGCCCCTCAATCACGGTGTTGGTAGCAGTGCTCCTCAGACGACCAGCCGACACGATGAACCCAACTTAGAAAATGCGACTCGGGAAAGGACCTAAGCTTGTTTAAAAAACCTCCTCCCTTAAATATAACTTATGTGAAAATATGAATTAAATAAAAATATCTGAGTTATTGCACAAATCATAAGTTTTCAATATTTACATAGAAAAACAGTTCTGAAATTTGAAACAAAAGGTGAGGGCAGTGACACAATGGCGACCTCGCAACCGTACCCGCTGGGGAAGGAACGAGAGCGGGGGCTGATCTCCGTCGCTCTGGCAGACACGCCCCGAAAACCCCCCAACCGCGAAGGACCCAGACGGGCTGCCGAGAAGTGCCACGGCCGGCGTCGCGCCCGTCCCCGCAGCCCCTGGCCCAGACCTGCTCCGCCCGGCACTGGAGGGAAGGATCCCAGGAAGGCAGACACAGCGTCCACGTTTAATAAGGCTTCACAGATGAGCACAAGGAGCTGTTCTTGAAGATGGACGTGACCACCACACAAGGAACATGCAGAGTGATCAGCGGCGGGCGGTCCGCGGGGCCCAGGCCGACGTGCTGGATGCTGGTCTCAGTTCCGGGCTGGGCGCCGAGGCCACCCGGCGCGAGTCTGTGCAAGAGCGGGGGGGGGGGGGGGGGGGGGGGCGGGGGGGCGCCATCAGGGGCTATTATCTGCTCAGGCTGACAGGCAGGCTGTCCCTCGTGTGTGTGTGTTTTTTCCTCCTCCAGCCGGTGCGGTTGTACTGGTGGTGTCCCCGGTTGCCCACGGGGGGCCGCACGCCTCCACTGCCCACAGAGCTGTACGTGCCAGGCTGGCTGTGGCTGTGCGAGCCTTTCATGGACAGCTTCATGCCGCTGTGCTGCTGGAGAGACAGAGAGACGCAACGTGGGAGGCTGCCCCGGAGACCCCAGACACCGCTGCTGTGGGGCCCAGTCGGGGGCAGCGCACCACCCCCCCACTGGAGACCGGGCCCGAGGACAGTGAAAGCACACAAAGGCTGCACGCCACTGCCACGTGCAGTGTCCACGTGACCGTGAGCAGGAAGGAGCAGAGAGCGCCATGCTTCCGTGTCACAGTGACCACTACACCTGGGAGACAGACAGGCCGCCCCCCACCCCCCAGGATCAGAGCACGCACACACACACATACACACATTCACATCCGAAGACATGAGCATCACACTTCTGACTGGTCTGTGTGTCCACGAACAAAGAGGGGCCCTGGTTTTCTTTCCCCCACCGCAGCTGTGACATTCTGCAAACACACGCAGGAGTTCCATGGCCCAGCAGGCTGGCGCTCGAGCTCCCGGGGGCTGGGGAGGACACTGTATGCGCCGGGGCTCCTGTGCCCACAGCCCCACGCGAGGCAGGCCAGCAGAAAACACAGCCACTTTCAGGAAGCATGCAAACAAGCAGCACAGGGGGACTGAGAGGGAAAGCCAAAATGCGATTAATGAGGTGCTTTCCCCTTCGAGAAGTCATCGCCCCCCGTGAGTACTTCCGGCAGGCCAACGTGAGACACCTGGAGTGCACGGAAGACCCCATCATGCCTGGAGGGGCGACCCCAAGGAGGAACTCTCTATTACGTAGCTCCAAATAAATATAACAATCCGACCTTAATGACGCAGCTTCAGAGAACCAACCCTTAAGCACTGAAAATTTACTGGCAAAATATGATCAGATAAGCCACAGAGGAGCTGACTGGAGTCATCGAGGGGGGTGTCCCCAATATCGCCAGAGCCCAAGGGAAAACACCTGCCTTCAGACACTGCACCTTGACCCCTATAGGCAGACGTCCGTCACAGCCCTCAGAAACATTCCAGCCCTACAAGGGCACAGGGAATGAATACCGACCTGCTTTCCTACCACCGAACAGTTTCTCGCGTACGGAATCTGGACTTAAGAGAAGCCACGGGGGCACCGACCAGCGCATTCACAGGGACCCCACTGGAACCGAGAAAGCAAACCCCATGCAGGCCCCCCCTCTGCCCCAGGTCACACCGGCATCTGTTCCTGATGGTATCATCTGGTTCTTGAAAACCAAAGTATTTGGCATATAAATTAATTCAACAGATAAATGGGAAACAAAATATTTCTCACTTTGAACCTTATTTCCAACTTCAGTTTTATGCTAACAAGTTCAATGAAAGAATGAAGACAGATGCTTAAACTACATTATATTTGAAAATAACACTTTTAAAGTTTCAGTCACCACAAAGAAAAGCAAACATGAAGCTGAATGATGAGAAAAGAAATTCCGTTTTAAACCACATCCCTGTGGAACCCTGTCTCTGGTGGGAAGAGCCGGAAGCCCTGGGCTCCGGGCACCAGGCCCCGGCCAGGGGGGAGGCCTACCTTGTGATACAGGTGAGGGCTTGAGAGCGGGTTGGGAGATGCGGACGGAATGGCCGCGGAAGACATGTGATGAACAGCTTTCAACGCCGGAGTTCCTTCAACGCCAACTTGTCTGCACGGGACGGGGGCCGCCCCCAGGGTCGGTGGAGGTATCGTAAACCTGGTCTAGGAACACACCGACCAGAGACTTCCATGAGGCACCAGGCCGACAGAGGTCACCAGTTCTCATGCTGAGCCCGAGAAGGGAGGGCGCTGCTTTGGAACAGCCATTTGCAAATAGGCTCATTCACATAGTTTGTGTTTTACTATAACCCAACAGGATTTGTTTTGCATCAGAAATATTCTACATTCTGAAACAGCAACTACAAAAGAAAGTACGCCCAGTAGCCCAAGTCATAAAATCTCCTTATTCATTGAAGACGAAGCAACAACTCAACAAATCTGTCCTCAGAGCAACACCTGTCCTTCGACCCAGGATGGGAGGCCCGACGCTGGTCCAAGCGATGGCCTGTGGAGGGATGCTGGCCCGCAGAGGTGTGCTGGGGAAGGCTGGCCTCCTCCCTGCTCCCCCTGCCCCTCTGGTCCCTGGACTACTTGTATTTCTGCATCACAGGGGTGCCAATGGGAACCTCTCTCAGACCTCCAAGAACTGCACTGCTCACATCGAGGAATCCTATGCATCTGCCCCGCTGGAGACTAACTGTAGTCCTCCACCCCGAGGCAGTGGATGGAACAGGAGCTGGGGGTCTCCCAGATGGTGCTCCAGAGCACATGCAGAGCCTTCCTTACGCTTTACCAAAGGTCCTCACCGGGGGCTGGAGCACACTCAGACCCTCTCCTCAGTGGGGCCGGTGCTCCCCTGGGGGCACGCGTCCCCGGGGTCTGCCAGACTCACGTCCCCGGCTCTCAGGGCCCACTTCATCCCGAGCGGGGCACTTCATCAGCCCGTGAGCTTCCCTGGAGAGAGTGCTCGTGATGTGTACAGGGGGTTACTGAGTTGCTCCAGTAGAAGTCAGGTTTGCAGTTTAGAAATAAAACAAGAAAGTGGGCCTTGAGCCTTGGCTTAAAATGTGAACGATCTTAGCTTCAGCCTCAACTTCTGTTAGCAAAGAGAACAGACGAGACCAGGGCACCAGCAGCGGCCTGCGACCTGTCCCCAGAACATCCTGGACTTCCTGCCAAAACCACACACTGCATCAGCTGGACCACTGCGTGGCGGCCACACTGGCTCTCAGGGGACCTGAGCCCCCGGGGTGAGGTTAGGACCAATGACGGATTGGGGGACACTGCAGCCAAGTGCCTCAGCATCGTGCCCTCAGGCAGGACCCACAAGTGTCTGGTGGGGCTGTTCTGCCTGCCATTGCCGCCAGTGCATGACAGGGGCGCACTGCGCTCCACTCTCCCCACGGCCCAGGGCAGAGAGCCAGACGACAGACAGATGAGTCCACGTGTCTGCACATGCCCACGTCTCTATGCTCAAATCACAGCCCTCACTGCAGAGAGGACCTTCCTTTAAAGGGGAATTCATGCGACGGGTTTTTACAAATACGTGTTCAGTTGTGTGTAACTGTCAAATGGATACCAAACTGAATATTTCTGAAATTATCTTTCAGGCTTCTAATTTCATCTAATCTAAAAAAACAACCAACAGAGGACATATTCTAACAGAAAAAGCTCTACAAATACGGCCTAAAAATAACGTGAGAAAGTCAAAGTTTATACTAAAACTTCTTAAGAGTGTAAATGGGGTGATTCTGAGAGGAAGCAGGGACGGTGGTCCCTTTGCGCCCAGGCGGCGGTAAGCACCAGAGTCCAAATGACGCAGGCCCAGGACCACAGTCTCAGGCTGGGTGTCAGTCATTTTCAGACAGACGCTCAACCTGGACCTTGTCTAAAGCCCCCTCGGTGCTCGATGGCCAGGAGTCCCCTTGCTGCACACATCACACAGGGTGGGCCCCGAGGACACGGTCTTCTATAGAATGACAGGAGTTACATTCTATCCGTCCACAAAGGACAAGGATGTCCTACAAGATAGAAGTATACCTTCCAGAGACTTCCGAAGACCTGTTTCTAATTCCAAAGTGCCAGCCGCTGCTAGAGTACCTGCAGCAGCTCAGACGTGGTTCCCCGGGGCCCGGCTGTGGGAAGGGTGCCAACCGGCTGCATACCTGAGTGTTAGTCGTCATGACCAACGTTCTGGAAGGAGCGGACTGAGCTTTGCCGCTCGGCACGGGCAAGGCGGTGGGTAGGCTGGCCAGCAAAGGAGTAGGTGCCTGCAGACTGAACTGGTAAACGTTGGGCGTTGTGCAGGGCGGCGTGTCAGAATCCTATGTAGAAAAGACAACAAGGATGGCCGTAGAGAGGCACACCGCTTCTCGGCGACGGAAGCAGGACCCGTGGTGCGGCCAGCCACAGACGGGCTCGAGCGCAACGGCCCGATCTGCCGAGCCGCCCGCCCTCCCTTCAAGTCCTCTCAGAACCGAAGAACGTTCCGGTCACACGGGACAGACACCTCACTTAAATGTTTCCTCCCCACACAAGCGTCTAAAACGCTTTTGAGGAGGTCTGCTACAGCTGGGCCATGAGCGGCAGGTCCCCGACTGCCGGCGGAGGCTCGTGGCAGAGCGGGGAGCCCTCAGGGCCATCTTGGGGTGGCGGCACAGACACCCACGGAAGGGAGAGGAATCCCGGGCTGGCGGAGGCTAAACACCCCGCCACAGACGATCCCCTGCAGGCACACTCACAATGTCACTCCCGGAAAGTGAAGACACAGAGGAGGCGGACGAGCCGGACGAGAGTAGCTGGGGGCTGGGCAGAGACAAGGTCAGGCGCTGGCTGTAGGGGGACTCCGGGTCTCGGCGCTGGGGCGGATCCCCATCACATGAATTTATTCGCTCCTTTATCTTAATTCTGTTGTCTGTGGGAGCAACACAGCCTGGGTGAGCCACTTAGTAAGAGGATGGAAGCTCACACCCCATCACACAGCCTCCAGCCACAGGTGCCATCCAGCCTTGACATGCTGCTAACGAGACTCACAAACTAATTTCTCATTTTACTTAATTTACTTAATTTTTTTAAATTATGGTTTCAGTTATTAGACAACATTAAAATATGTCTGGAACGACTTGGATGTGTAAACAGGTTTCTACTGTAAATCTTACGGAATCTAAACACAGAGCGCGCGTCTCTGGGGAGGCTGGGGCAGGGTGAGCTGCCAGTACCCACCGGGTCTCAAGGGTACAGCACCAGCCCAGGGCCAGAATCTCTCCGAGACTCTTTATAGTGATTACATGACGAAATGTTACTATAAATACTACGCTGAATAAAGTACATTATTAAATGGAACTTCAGGGGCGCCTGGGTGGCTCAGTCGTTAAGCATCTGCCTTCGGCTCAGGTCACGATCCCAGGGTCCTGGGATCGAGCCCCACATCGGGCTCCCTGCTCAGCGGGGAGCCTGCTTCTCCCTCCCCCACTCCCCCTGGCTTGTGTCCCCTCTCTGTCTGTCAAATAAATCAAATCTTTTAAAAAATAAATAAATAAATGGAACTTCACCTGTTTCTTTTCACATTTTTAATGCACTTACTAGAAGAAACTTTAAAGGTCTGTGTGTGGCATGCATTGTATTCCTGCTGGCCTCAATCTCACCGCTGTAAACTCTTACAGAAGATGAGGTGTTTCCTCAGTGGGAACAATTAGCACCGAGGGACAAAGAGACACTGCTGCTTCAAGGCGTCAGAAGTTTAAGAGTAACGTGACTGGACGAGCGCTCACCAAGCTCGGGCGCTGGGGGGGCCTTGCGGCCCCACTTCTCCTTGATCCACCTCCGGTAGTCGATCACTTCCTGAGTCACTTTGATGATTCTTCCTAGAGTACTGCAAAGGGACACCACGGGGAATCAGCGTACTGCAGAGTGACGTCGGGGGCCACAAACCCTGCAGACCAGCTATTTTATATTTTTAATAACATATCACTTGGCCAAGTGAAAGACAGAGGAAGAAAGCTAAAATAATTTTATGAATTGTGTTATGATTTCCGATGCTTGAGCCCAAACGTGCTCTGAGATCACAGTATCGAAAAAGTGAGTTCACTTATGTAGACACCCTTGAACCTACAGCTAGCTACTGCGAAAGACTGTTTCAACCCAGTGCCTAAGCCCCTGCCCTGGCCCAGCACGCACGAAGGTCTGGCACAAGCAGACGGTACCAAGACTCTGAGCACCCAGCACAGGGCCAAAGCCCTGCCAGAAGGCACCGTGAGCGGGCAGAGGCGCAGAACCCACGGCAAGCCAATCAGCACAAGCGCCAGGCCTCAGAACCCCCGTGCTGCAGCACTGTTCTTTCCTTCCACTGCCCCTTCACTCCCTCCCTCCTCCCCCAATCCCACCACCTCCCAACCACTCAGTAAGTATTTCTCTCTACCAGTAAAAGCGTACACTGCAAAAGTGTGCTGAAATGCAGAATGAGGGGTGAGTTTGCAGAAGAGAGGGAGGGGGGAGGCCCGTGGACCCCCAGGCACACTCCCTTCGAGCTCAGCATGTGCATTTTGAGGACAGCCTGAAGAGAAAGCATCACATTCCAAAGTGTGAAAAGGCCAGAAATCAGTTCCCCAAAATAAAATGCCCTAAAGAAACTGTCAACTCCCCAAATACGAAATTTTCACAGTGCTCAGCCACGGATGAACCCAACGTGGTCCTCCTCCTAATTTCAAGTTCTACTAGACTGCGCCGGCATACCCATTAAGAAACCTCACGGAAGCCAAGGACAGAGGCCAGCGGTGCCTGCCGCAGGGAGCTGCCAGGCCAAGGCTGTGAGCCCAGGACAGTGACGCGTGACTTGTGTTACCTTTCAGAGTCTCTGTTGGGATAGGACCTCGCGAGGGGCGACACAGCGTGACTGAGAACAATGTAGGCGTAGTCAAACACCTGCTTCACCTGCATGGCCCCGTACGAACTGCGGCCAACATCGTTTCCTGAAACAGAAAGGTGGCTGTAGGACCCTGCCAACAGCGGGCCCTTGATCCAGACGCGCAAGATCGTGTCACGTCAGGTCTTCCGCAGCAGGCCCTCACCACGGACACACTCCCGGACCACACCAGCAGAGCCACAGCAGGCGCGTGCAAGCACACTGCTCATCACCCGCGCCCGTCCCACGACAGGCACGGGCCGAAGGGCCTGACCTGCAGCCTCAGATCCGGGCCCACCTCCATGAGATGTCATTCACAGAGACAGAGTGACAGTCCACGAAGAAGTCCAGTGACTCCCCAGGTGGCACCCACCCCACAGAGCCGAGGCAGCGGCTTCAGTCAGACCGCAGCCGTGCTGACAGAGCCTGCGCTGTGGGCAGGCACCCGGACCAGGCACGCCGCAGTTCAGTCAGCACCTGCGGGACCTGCAGGAAGCAAGTCCTTCAGGGTAGAGGGGGCCAGGTCTCCCCTCTCCAGTTTTAAGGACCAGACGGTGGCAGATCAGATGAAACCATCAATGAAGTCACCAAGTGAGCCACAGTCAAGGAACTTAACTTTTAATAACAGCACAGTTTGGAGTTTTAATTCACATGTACTCATTCTTCACAATGCAAGTAAGCAGTATGTTTTAGGAGCCATTCTAAGTATTGGAATTTTCTTCTTCAAGTTGGATAATATATCCAGTGATAATGCAGGCTTTCATTTCAAGTACATTTAAACAGACATCAAAGACACTGGAAATCCCTGCAATTTAACTGATCGAACACAAACAGATGTGAAAATATGTTCCTCTGCTGCCGGGAAAAGCCATACTGAAAAAGCATGGCATCAGTCCTGTCATATGTAAACAACAGAACAGTCAGCAGGCTTCCTGTCACAGGGTTTTTAAGAAGTGAATTTCACACTCCAGCAGCCATGAAATGAAACAAAAAATCATTAAATTTGAGGACATTAAAAAATATATATAGGAACTGAGTAACAAAAGACACTAAATACAGATGCAATGGGACAAACTAGGGAGAAAAAAAAGTACAGCATGATGACAAAGAAGAGGCAGGATCTCACAAAGTCACTAGGAACACAGCCTGGCAGACAGATGGACAAAGCACGTGAACGTGCACAACAGGAAGACGGGGCAGTGTACCTGGAGCGGACTTTCTCCACCACCTGTCACCTGTCCGTCACTGACTTTATCACCAACAGTAACAACAGCGTCTCATCTAATAGATGCTCAATAAACATTTGTGGAATCGATAAATAAAAATTTGCTTTACCTCACTCATCATTAAAGAAATGCAAACTCAATGCACATGTAAGTTGCGTGTTCCATCAGATCGGCAGAGATTGGACTGTCCCTAACAGAAGCGGGAACGAGCACCCTTCACTATGCTCAAGGGAATAAAACCGGGGAAACCGGACACCACCTCGGATGGTCAATGCAGCAATCCTCACAGTGGAACACACCTTACACACACAGGGAAGGGTTCTAGGATTTGTTAATTAAAAACACAAGTCGCACAACGGTTTGAATTACGTGAGCTGCTTAATTAATAAGCCTGCAATAAATATTAATATCCGTGTAGGAAAAAAATGGAGAAATACACACCAGAATGGAAGGGGGTTGTGGCATACTTTGCTTTTCTATGTGACATACTTCTTGGAAGTGAATGGTTTGTGATGAATATGTAACAAATACTTTCCCACTCAGAAAACATAAACTTTTTTTCCTTAATTTTCACTTTCTACATTTATCTGGTAAATTAGAGAATGTAAACACATTCCAATTTTATAAGAAGTGAATTAGATGGCATTAAAGACAGACTTCTGAAGGTGTCCCCATTACCTGTCAGGACAGAGGGGCCACCCTTGGCTGCAGGGGCTGCAGACGCCGCCCACCCCTTACTCCGGGCGCCAGCCACGCTCCCAGGCTCACGGCCAGTGAGGAGCGAGGCACTTACCAGGTAGGAGAGGGTCCTCAATGCACAGCATTGATGGTCTGTACCCACTGGTCATGGCTTTCATGATCTCTTCTTTGGCGATATAGGCACCTCCTTCTTTTATTCTAATACCAGTTTTCAAGTAATTAAAATTTCTTCCGTAGAGTTCAAAAAATTCTACAAGAAGCATTCCAAGGTTTTCATCAGCTCTCCGGGCATCAATTCTCGGATGCAACTGTAAAAGCAACAGATCCACCATTTGGATTCAAGTCATTTTCTACAGAAGACCGCATGCAATGAAGTCCGCTACCTCGTGGTCTCTCCAAGGACACACTATCAGTGACAGCTGCTCACACACCAACTCCAGGAGGATGCTCCGGGTGGCGGGGGGCGGGGGGGGGGGGCACCAACAGAGCCTGGATAGCCTTTGTCAATACAGAGTGTTCAAAAGAAAAAAACCTTCTAAACTGAATTTTTTATTATACTTTAATTCTCTGAAATTCATAACCCATAGAGGGTCTTCCTACTAACACAGACATCTGATTAGCCTCAAGTTAACAATAACTGCCCAATAAGTAGACCATATTCTCCACAACTTAGAGTCACCTAGATGGTGAATGTCATGTTACAGATTCTAACCTTAGTCCCATTATTCCAAAAGACAACCCATAGAGGGCAGTATCAGACCGAATAGTGTGACAGAACGGACTGTGGAAAGATTAATTTTAACTGTGTAGAGGTGATTAGTATTGTGTCATAATATTTACACCAAATTTACATCCCTGCTCGTCACACCGATTACTACCAGCCTCGGTTCAGTGCCACGTTTCCTTCAAGCAGGAAATGGGCCTATACTGAACCTCAGCTGCTGTCTACTGACACCTTCCCGATCGAAGAGGCTCAGTGCAGACCTGCGCGGCCCGTGAGGACAGCCACCAGCCATAGGTGGCTATTTCTACTTAATGAAAACAAATTCATTAAGAACTTAGTCTGCTGGCATAAGGCAAGTGCTCAGTCGACATGTGTGGCTTGGGGCCCCCCTGCCGGCCTATGCAGACCGTGGGCAGGCCAGCTGAGCAGGAAGTTCTAAGGAACGGCGCCGTTCTGCATCCTGACGGCCACGTCCAAGGGAAAGCACAGTTCCTGACAAGCAGGAGGGCAAAAACTGAGAACACACGACTCCCCGAGGAGAGGCATCTCCTGACACTCAGGAGGCTTTCAAGGGCTCACCAGCACTTGGCTTCTGAGGATCTGCCCATGCTAGAGAGGCCCAAGAGCACAGTCTCATCTCTGCCTTCCACAAAGTCAAACACCTGAGAGCTAGCCAGTGCAAGGCTGGGCCCTCGGACCTCCGGGCAAGAAAAGCACTCCGACGCCACGAGAGGCTCAGCTTTGAGGCAGGGTGGGCAAGGCGCCAAAGGGCGTGGCCAGCCATCCACTCTATGTGTGAGCTTCCTGGGGTCACCGGACTGCTGCCAGGACCCCATAGAGTAAGGGGGCAGGAGGTGCCGAGCCCAGTGCCCAGCACCATAAAAACAAATAGCAGGCATGATAATAAGCCTACTGAAATAGTTCAAATCAGGAAAAACATGAGGCAATAAGTCAAGAGCAGCAGGTTGTATTTAGTTCAAAATAATGTCCAAAAACTAGGGAAAATGACTCCAAGGGTAGCATCAGAGAAGAAAATGTGGACAGCAAAGCAATGTGATTAAACTGTGAGAAAACAGGTGTGGAATTCCGTTTTCACTATTCTTCAAGTATCTCTGGCAAAGATGTGCCATGGAAGTCAAAATAATGAAAGGTGGTGTAACCACTACTTCCATCAGCCATATTAATGAGAAAAATGGCCAAATTTTGGATATAAAAGCCTAATAAGCACAATCACAAATACAAAATTAATGATAAACATGGAGGAACAGCCAGAATATACAGGAAAGATTTTGTGAAGAACAGAGTATCCTTCATTCACGAAAATATTAATGTTTCCATTAACTCAAACTATTTTATATGTTAAATAAATAACATATAAATAAGTTTACATATTAAATAAAACTATTTTATATGTTAAATAAGTATCAACACCACCGCCTTTAACACGTATAGGTAGGTTTTCTATTGACAGATTGTTCCACGGTACTAAACAAAATAAGAGCAACATAACATTTAGAACAAAATATCTGTCTTGTCAATCTAAGAAGAAAGGCTCTCTCTTCAATTTTTTTTACCATATGGTTCCCAATTTTTTTTCTGAGACAAATTTTTCATAAATCACAGTCAATAACCAAGAAAATCAGCTTTTTATTGTCCATCAAGGCATGAAAGTCTCTACATGGATGGGGTCCTCAAGTCCAGACTGACCTACACCTGACAGACGGGACCAGGGTAGACCGCCCTCCCGCGAACCATTCAATCAACTACAAAAATGAGCTATAAAGGAGAAAAAGGAAAGAAGTATTAATCAAAATGGTTTTATTATGACAATCAGAAGTCAATTTCTACTAAACCAAAGCAGAAGAGTGTAGGGAGAGCAAGGGCGGCTGGAATCCACAAAGCAACGGCTTCGCATCAAGGGAGAATGTGCTCCTATGTAAAGTCTCTAGAGAGAACGCACACTCACCTGTAGAAAGCTAATGGCCATTAAAATTAGGCTGTAGGAGCTAATTCCACCTGTAAAAACTTCATTCAGGTCCCTCTGCAGGAGGAACTGTTTCAATACTAAAATCAAGTAAGGCAGCAATGAATATTTCTGTAAATTCAAAAAAAAAAATTAGTTAATATACCTTTAATGATTTGTCACATAGCAAATTTCACATAGTAGAAAGAAAAGCTTACTCAATCCTCTTGTCACCTGGAAGGCTCTAGGCCAATCATCCTCAATTTTTAGGGGCCTAAGAATTATGTGAGGGGCTTGCTAAGATCCCCATTGGGAGCCACATCCCAGGTCATGGTTCTGCAGGTATGAGTTTGGAGCAGCTCCTCCAAGAAAGAAGAGCTCAGGGAGAATGAGTGAGTGTGTTCCTTCAAATTATTCCCATTGGTCTAGCTTGCTCCATGACAGGTGCAGGTTGGGGGCAGGAAGGAGAGGAGGGGATGCGGCCAGGAAGGTCCTGAAACTGATGTGCACAACTCCAATGCCCGGAGGCCCCCACGAAAGGAGGAGTCAGGGTGAGGGCAGCTCATGAGGCAGGAAGACAAGAGCAGAAGAATAGGGAAAGCAGGGCGAAGGTAACAAGGAAATGGAGAGAGGCTGGAGAAGAGGGTGCGGGGACAGTGGAAGCTTCTCTGTTATCATGTTCTCCTGGGCACAGAAGTTAAGGGAAGCAGTTAAGGCAGACAAGCCTGCTGCTGCAGAGTTAAGGGAAAAAAAACTGAAGGAACAAGGTCCCTGAACCTGTGGGAAGAGGCAGTATCCAGATTACGATGCTGCGGTTGCTTCTATAAAGGATCTCACCCCTTTCCCTAAAATAGGAGGGAAAGACCACTGGTTTAACTAGACCACACACCTGGTCAGCTCAATGAACAAGTCTGCTAGCCCATCGTTAGGCACTGAGGCGATCCAAAGTAAGCAAACTATATCATGATGTATTCTACTTCCAATAAACTAAACTCGCAAATCAGGCGTGCCAAGCTCCAGGGATAGTCATTTTGTAATCATGAGAAAACATTTTCACAAAACTCTCTAAAACACTCAACACAATAGGAAAGTAAATCTACAAAACAGCTATATTAATTTCCAAGTATCTCTAGAAATAATATTGTAGAATAAATAATTCAACTGTACAGTCTTTATCATTAAAGACTATCATTCAGGATAAAGTTCCGTAAGATGCCCAACATAACCGGTCCCCCGTTTTGACAGTCCTAGCTCGCCGACGGCAGCACCTTCATGTAATTCTTGATGAGCTCTGCGGCCCGGACCCCGGTCTCCATGTTAAAGCTGATGTCGACTTTAACTTCAGTCTCCTGGTCTGTGAGTTTTATTATAGGTACCTGCAAAGATTTAATCGAAAAAACTATACCTTAATGGCCAACATTCACTGCAGTCTGGCATCAAAATGTTTCCTATGTTGTACAGAGAGGTTTTTTCCCTGACTCACAAAAGAGCTGAGAGATCATGAACCTCAGACATTAAAAAACGAGAAGAAAAGGGATTTTTGCCAGTGTCAACGTCATTAGTCCCTGGAATGCAGGCCCCCCTGCCACCCCCCCGAAAACGGCCAGAGCTCACCTCCGCCCAGCCCTCCTGGCCTGACTCAGCCTCAGCCACTACTTCCGGGAAGGCCCGGGCTACAGGAGGAGAAGTTGACTAAGTGCCTGTCTCCCTGGGAGTGCCTGATGATGCAGAGGGGGCTCCAGGTCCCCAAATTACATTTGCAAGAATTTCTGAAAACAGTCAGAGTAACTTCAAAGCCAGTTTTTCAATTCTATTTTGTGCTGATGTTGTTTCTCCGAACAATTCTACTTTGGGTATTCACAAAGACAATTTAAATAAAAAACAAAACCAAACCAAAAAACCACTTCCCTGTAAAACCAGAGAATAAGAAGCTATTTTGGAAATATTCTCATCAAAAAGACTCACCACCACAAGGTGCTCAAAACCAGCCTCATCAAAGCTGCCCCAACAGCCATACAGACCACACTCCTCCCCACCCCCCCACACAAAATTGTGTTCTTCCAGGAACAAAAGGCAAGACTTTGTTTCCTTCAGCCTCTAAGGAATGGAAAAGGATGTTCCCTGACCAAAACAAGTGAGGTCTAATGAAAGGTTTAGGACACCTCACAGAATCCAGGGTGCACACCTAATCTGGCCACAAACTACCAAGGACACAGGGATGGGCAGCTGGTGGTGACGACGACTCCTGGAGATCATCAAAACCGCCAGGACTGCCAGGCACAGTGAGCCACAGCCAGTGTGGTCCAGGAAGGCAGAAAACAAAAGGCTTTCCCAAAGAACTTACCACAAACTATTTCAGAAGGAGCCCATGCCTCTACAATATACTATCTCCCTCATGAAGAATTCCTGCTCCCCATCACCACTGGGCATGGCTATGAAGCACCTTCCTCTCTACACTCATAGAATGCTTTCCCGAAACCACTCCTGGTGCTCGCCGCCCCCCCCCACACACACACTTTCCTATACACTCACAGGTTGAACCCCAGATCCTAGAGATTAGTAACAGCACCAAAATACTTACTTTTCGGTGGTTGTTCAATATACACAAGCTTTCTTCTTAAACACAGCCCTCCCACTGGGCCCCGGGGCCCCAGATGAGATGATGGTGGGGCTGCCTCGCACGAGCTCGCGATGACAGAAAGGGACAGTGGAAGACCTGTGGGGCTCAGTTCCCCTTAAGTCTATGCTGGACCCCTAGCAGCAGAGGAGACCATGTGTGAAAGCAGTTACTACTCGACACGGTCTGTCCCCCAGAATGCTCTGGAGCCCAAGACAACTAGACCTGGCCTCTCCAGCTCCTCTCTACATCTGAACCAGGATACCTGGTCACCGGCACTGCCACCACCTCGTTCTCATCGAGGAGCCAACACCACAGGACAAATGGCTCTAATCACGACCACACAGCCGGCAGGTGACTTCAGTTCCTGAGCCACCTCTAATCTTGGACTCAGGTAAACCCTGATGAGCACACATCAAAGCACCCTCATCTTCCAACTTCTCCCCATGGTCAAAGGTCTTTATATGGATACAATTTTGAACAATGAAAAGAATAGGCGAGTTTTGTTTCTTAAATATAACTTGGCAAATGGTAATCACTTCCTGTGCAGATACCATGCTTTCATCATCAACTACGTGCGCCTGAACGGGCAGCACCTGAATGCGTCCTTTTTTTACGTCCTAACGAAAGTTGACCAATCATATTTTAGTGCCAAGTGCAGCATGATGCTCTCACAACCAGCAGTCCTTCGGATTGTCATGAAATAGGTTCTCAGCTGGTAATTCTAATATTCTAAATAAACACAAGTACATTTATATCAGAAGGAGAGGAGTCTTCCAAAGTGTAAGTTGTAACCCCCGTCAACAGCCTAAGCTAAAGCTACAGGGGAATCACAACTGCTGTGGGGGGTGCGAACCTCCGCAGGGGCCCCACACTTACTGTAGCTTTGTCAAGTACTTTGATGGAGCACGGCTCGGCCACATTGTGCTTCCGCAGAGCTTGCTCCAACAGCTGCAGAGGAGGACGCTCCCACTTTCCAAAGACCACTAAGTCGATGTCACTGGACAGAAGAACAAGTGAGCGTGAAGCCCCGGTTCACATCACTCTCCAAGAACACACGCATCTGGGGCAGACCAGTGCCATAGCGTGCACACTCCCATCTCCTTCCAGGGCCACACACACACCCCCATGAAGCCGAACCCTCTGAGGGAGGGAAGATGCACTTTATGAGCTATCGTGACACAAGGATGTCTGGTTACAGCATCCCCAGTAACCGAGGAGGTTGAAACGAAAATGCCCGCCCCCTGAGGCTTCCCGGCTCTTCCTCCTGTGTGTCTACCCTGCCATGCTCTTGCCAACCTGGGCTTCCCAGCACCTGGAATCTGGGCAATTCCCTCCTGGCCCTGCCAATGCCAACCCCAAATTCTGAGAGCACAGCCTCTTCACAGTCCAAATGTTAACAGTGGGTCAGGAGAGAGTAAGCTCTTAAGGAAGCAATGCACGTAAAACTGATTTGGGTACTGAGATAGTTCGTGATGAGGAAACACCGGAGAACAATTTTACGATGCAAACTTATTGGACATTTTTCAATTAAAGAATACAAAATACTTATAAAATACTGTTTAAATAGAATTTTGCATGAATCTTCATTAAAAGAGAAAATCAATTTTCAAAAACATATCCAAAACTTTCAGAATATCTTCTACTGCCTTTTCTTCCCATGATCCTCCCACTGGTCTTTATGCTTCTGGTGTCCAGCATTTTTGCAACATACCAAAGTGCAAAAGGAAAAATACAATCAATTACCATAACACTAGATTAAATTTTATTTCCTGCAATTTTCCCTTTAGCTTACCTTTCTAGCCTGAGAATTCTACTTTTAACGTTTAACACGCATGCAGACACGGCCCACCCCAACTAAACATGCGTCAGCACTAACCTGAGTGGTTCAGATCTGGTACTCACCTGGTTGGGAGATAAAGGCCTGTACTAAAGCTGCCAAATATCTGTACCTGGAAGAGAAGAGCGGCTGTCTCACAACAAGGGACAATTCAAACAGTCTGCCTTCCCCCGCTGCTCACTGAAAGGCCTCACTCCCACTCTGGGGCAAAACAGACCTTCCCTGCAAGTTGGGGCACAGGGCGGGGGCCAGGGGTGCAGCAAAGCACCATCAAACAAAATCCTCTTCACCTTTATGTTAAAGACCTACCCCAAAAAAGAATGTTTAACAACTCAAATTAAGAGATGAGACAATTATTGGCCTTTCCCACAACTGCTCAGAGTTGACAACAATTTTCAAACCTGTAGCCAAGGCTCAGAGGTGGGGCTTTGCCCCAGGGCACTCATGTTTAAAGACAAAAATGTGGAATGGCATCACAGAAGAGGAAGGGAATGGAGGGGCTTCCCCTGTCCCCTGGGCGCACTCATGCCTTCCCCAGCCCAGCTCATCCATCCATCACTGGGTGGTCTCCAGTCACCATCACCAGTAGGGGGAGGTTGACTGGTCAGGATAGGCGCCCTTGGGCCGTCATCAACTTGGTCACAGGACGTATGTCACTGCCTATGCCAAGCACCCCAAGTGCCCATGGCCCCCATCTCAAGGAACACACATTAGTGCACGGTAAAAGTGCTAGGTGAGGAAATTCTTTCCAGTTCCACAAAAAGGAATATATGCTGCGTGTTGCATAATGAGGGCAAGGGGTAGGATTTCTAACCTCAAGGCGAGTTGAAAAGAAGAATGATAATCACACTCCAGAAACAAATTTCCTTTGGCCCCTGGTCCCCACACTCACCCGGCAGGCACGTGAAGCACGGGGCACGGGCCCCACCCCAGAGGCGCTGCTCCGGAAGGTGCGGGGCAGGGCCTGGGAAAGTGCAGGTCTCACGAACTCCCAGGTGCCGCCCTCACGCCCTCCCCGGGGCCACGCCTGCAGAAGCCCTGCCCTGGCGCCACAAGGGCCAGGCCCGGTGTGTATGGGGGGGGGGGGAGCAGGGCCAGGGCCACTACGACCCTGGGCACTCGCCGTCCCTGGAGTGACACAAGTACAGTAAAGAGTGAACCCACGTCAGCCGCTGGCCAAAGGTCTTTAACCACGGTTTCGATCCGCTTCACCACCTCCCGTCGCATGGCTGCTTCTTCAGGACAAGGGGACATGAAGTTATAAAAGTCAATGATTTCCTCATGAAGTCTGGTGGACAAAAGAGAAAACACACTCGAGTTACCGCTGTAGTCAAGCCGGCGCACTGCGCTCTTCTCTCCTCCGCGAGCAGCGGGTAAAGTGGAAGCCCTGTAGCAGATGTCGCGGCTCGCTGCCGTGGCCCAGACGGCGGGCAAATCCCGCCAGCACGAGGTCGGACACTTCCTCTGGGCACTGAAGGCCGCGTCCACGACAGTCACTGTGGGGCCAGGGCTAGGAGGCCGAGAGAAGCCCATCCCTGGAGGCCACTCAGCTGTCCTCCCCTGAAGGTGCCAGCCACCCAGGAGGGCCCCGAGCCAATGTGGATAGGGCGCAATGTGTCCAGCCCTCCTAACAGAGATAGAACTGTAGCATTCCCAGCAGAAGAGGGAGCTCCGAGCGCCACCTCGCTCACACCTCCGCCTCAGGAGCCACCTCTCAGAACTTCTGCCCACCCTGGGCCAAAAAGCCCGGCCTAGGGTGGGCCAGGGCTTGGGGAGGTCACTTTCAGGGCCAAGGATCAACACCAAAGACTCCTTCTGGGGAAAGACCGTCATCCTTGGTCAGTCTGAAGGATGAATTCTAGGGGGCCAAGTAATCTAATCCTGGGAATTAAAACAAATCAAATTCACCTGCTTCCACTCTAAAGTTTGATTAATAAAACAAAGACAAAATAAAATTTGCTCAATAACAACATAATGTCAGCTCAAAAGCTATCAAAATAGTCCACATACCAGAATGGAAGACTTCTCAACAGGACTGATTAGTGTCCAGTGTCAAAGGCAAGGGGCATGAAATCACCTCACATATTCTATCGGCCCTTCTCTGTCTCACCTGAAGTGCTGCCCGCACCCCCAAAAATCACATGGAGTGACCATTCCTAACACTCTGCAGCAGGTCTGAAGGTGCCTGGAGGCCACTGAAAGCACACATGGGACTCTAGGAGGAAATCAATCCTCAACACACTTGTTCTTGGTACACGTGCAATACAATCAGGCTATCACTGGAACTTAAAATTAAGTTTATCATGTTTAATTTTTTAGAAAATCCAGAAAAGAAAATCTCACTCAACCATGATGGTGATTCAGCCAGCCACGAGTCCAATTTTTATAAATCCAAAAAGGTTTTTAAGTCATACAACATTAAAATGCCGTAATTTTTCCAAAACCTCCAAGGTTTGGGGAGTAAAGCTTCCATCACTTCAACAGTTAGTAAGCACCAACGACACCATAAAGCATGGAACCATGGCCCTGCCGGCAGCTCAGCAAGTCTGTTTACGTTTGTGACATTACCTAAAATTTGCCATCGATTGGCCACATTGTTAGCAGGACTCAATACATCAGGTTAGCGGGTTAGTGCCCACACCAGGGAAGAGCCACAGGCGACCCTCCCTGTTAGCAAGGACATCTTAGGGGTCTCCTGTGTCAGTCACTGTCATGGTGGAGAACTGTCTGGAAGGCAGAAGGGGCTCCTCCAGAGAAGAGTCTGTGACACTAAACAGCCATCGCCTTAGGTGAGAAGTTGGTTCATGGGGAGCACAAGGAGCGCATGCTCTCCTACAACTCTTAGTACTGTTCTGGCAACAGAAGTATAAAGTTTAGAAGCAAAATATCAAAGATATAGGCCTAATTAATTAGACAATCGGCCCAAAGTCATCAAAGACTACCAGAGCTAGCATGCTAAAATTCTATCCACAACCCACAAATTTAATACATTAAAACACCTTGTAAACAGGGCATACCAATTTGCCCAACTGTCACTGCAGGTCAGCACCTGCAGAATAGAATGTACCATCAACTTACTTTTAAGCTGCCCACCCACCCCCACAGCCTCCCAGGCAGGACTCCTGAGCTCAGTCACCCTCAACACACCAGGGAAGGAAGGAACATGAAGGGGGGGCTTGCTGCCAGTCTGCAGACACAACCCCACCAGTGGGACACAGTGTCAGTTTTATCTGATGTCTGTTGACTGGCTTGGGACACAAGGAGGGGCTGCCGAGCATTTCTCCCCTGCCCGTATTTCAGGAGAGATGAACAACGAGGTCGAGGCATGCCCACATTCCCAGAGCAGGAAATGGTGCCAAGTGGAACACACAGGCCTCCTGCTTTCAAGTGTCCCGTTCCGCCAATAAGATGTGCTAACAACACACCTATCTGAAATGCGTATTAAATCGGGCCTAAAAGTGACCTGCTGTAACAAATATTAGATAGGAAGCGTATTTTTGCTCTGCCTTCTGGGACTAGAAGGGACACTCCCGGCCGACTGGCTGGACAAGAAGCCCCCTCTGCTGGCCCTTCCTCGAGGCGAGCAAAGCTCGACGAGGCACTGCGTGACTCCAGGAGCTGCCCCAAGACCACGGCGCTCTGGGGTGCGAGGGCACCATCAGCCCAGAAAGACACAGGAGGGTCTAAACATCGTGACATCTGGGCGAACCCCAAGAGCCCCCTCAGCTGGCTGCTCCTACTCAGTGGGCTCCTCAGGGAACCCTCTAATGAGTGAGGAAGCACCAAGGACTGGGTGATGGGCAGCGGACTCGAGCAGGAAGGGGACGGCTGCCCACCCTGGGAAGAACGGCGGAATCAGAGCAATTCAACAGAACCCACACCGCACAGGGGAGGCAGCACCCCTGCCCCCCACACCCTTCCCGAGCACGGTGCGGGGCTCACGGCTCACTGCTTGATCCCAGCACCAGAACAGTGCTTGCTCATGGACAGCATCTGACCAATGTGAATGGATGCATCAAAGCACGTCTTGGTTAAATAAATATTTCACTATGAGCCTGTCATTTAAGATCTACATTCCCCGTAAAATACATTCCAACTTCACATCCCAAACGGTGCTAAACAGTTTGCATTATTTTACTCAACACAAATGTTACATGTAGTTCTCATCACTTTAAGAAGCTGCATTTTATGTTTCTGACAACATACTTTCACAATTAAGCACTATCAACCACATGCCCAACTGCAGGCATCAGCTACAACATAGGTCATTTTATGAGTCTATGACTTCCAATCCTGAATACACCCACATGTTCAAGTCTCCAAAGCGGTTCATAGTTATGTCCATAATCATTTATGTCTACACGATCATTACTGCTCAGAAACAAACACAAGGAAGCTCACTCTTCTTACATATCAAAACCTCAAAGGCATTTCACAGCTGACAGGAGATCTACATAAAACCACACTGAAGTCGGCTTCTCCACAATTAGCTGCTACCTCATAGAGCTCAATGTCAGCCCACCAGCAGTCGGTCTCCAAATCTACCATGACAATTTCTACGCTGTGACCATCACAGAAAAATCTCTACAACAGATCACAGAGGTGGCACCTCAAAACCATCAGGAAACGATTATTTAATGGGAGGCCCTGGGACACGGCCTCATGTGGCAGAAGCTGGCTGTCCACCAGGATGCTGAGGGGCTCCTCCCCCAGCCTCAGGTGGCCAGCGAGCCCTGGAGGGTGCTGGCAACACATTTTCTCAGAAGGTTTCTTAAGGGAAGAGAGGCCCACATGACCCTGAGAAAGGCCCCCAGTGTGGAGCAAGGAAGGTAGGCAAGAAAGAGGGATAAGCCCATCATCTAGACTGGACCACCAATGCTCCATTACTTCTGTTCTTTGTAGCCAAACCAAATCCTGATGCAGGAAACTGAAGAACACAGTGTGAGACTCCTACCTTGTTCTACACTTGAAAATACAATACAGATGCAGAGTTGAATTTTTCAGGTGAAAAAAATCAAAGAGAAGCTAAAAACCACAGGAAACCATCCACTATTTTCGACTTGGAGGAGGCTTTTCCAGACTCCAATGTAAAATGACAATCACAACACAAAGCCTGAAGAACTTTATCCAAAAACATGCTGAGTGTAAACAAATTAAAAAGCAAATGACAACGGCACATGGCAGAAATATGACAAATTTGACTCTGCACAAAGACCAGGCCCTGGCCTACTCTGGGGTAAGCTGATAATTTATCACTTCCAGGACCCTCTGATGGGAGACCATGAAACACACACAGGAATCCACAGCGCATGCTCACGGCAGGACCTCCGGCAGTAAGACATAGTCCCACGTGAGATACTGTCCACTAAGAACGAGGAAGATGCGTATGCGCTGATAAGGAATGACCCCCACGACAGATGACTGGTGCAGAGACAAAGACATGGCCCCACCTCCACGTGGATGTCTGGCCCATATATGCACCAAATACATGAAAAGGCCTAAAAGGCCACATGCCAATGCCCACGGCGTTTCCCCCCCACCCAGGAGAGCCGGACGGGCCGGCGTGAGAACACTCCACTTTCTACTACAGATACTTTTAGACTGCTTGAGGCTTGTTTGTTCTTTACAAGAACGTGCTCATCATATAAATTAAAAAAATAAACAGGAAGAAGTCAACTGCATTTTAGATGACGAGACTGCGATTTTTATATTGTTTTTGCTGGTGTGCATTTTCTAATTTTAATGATGAATATAGGTTCCTTAAAAAAAAAAAAAAAAAAAAAAAGATCGAGTTAGTCAGGCTTCCAAACCCCGATGCCTCTTCCCATCTGCCTCACCCAAGGCAGTGAGCTCCCAGAGCAAAGCTGGCTCGTGCAGGTCTGGGTTCACTGAGCAGGTCCTGAGCACAGACAGCTGAGGGGTGCACAGGTAGCAGGTCGGCCGCAGGGAGAGGAGAGGTAAGCAGGGTGCAGCCGACACAACTTGCCGTGGGGATGGACATGTTCTGTGCTTGGGGCTAGTGAGCACCTGAAATGTGTTACTGCAGCTGAGGATGTGGATTTTTCATCTGACTTAATTTGCATCTAAATAGCCATGTGTGACTAGTGGTCCATCTGAGAAAGGCAGCTCTGGCTGCTGCTTTCCTCAACTTCACCCAAGACAGGCCAAACCTAACAGAAAGCAAACAGGGGCAGCCCCACGAGAGAACACCTCTCGAGCTTCTCCAGAACCGGATGCAAGGGCCCTGTCCCCTCCCCCAGGTCCTTCCTCTTCTCATCCTGCAGGCGT